TCTTCCCATTACAGAGAATAAAAGATATTACCCACAGAAGAGAAAAATGAGATCTAAAATTAGACTCATCAGTCACATTTTGATTAACGGGCACTTGTGAGCTAAACACATCAAGCTGTCCTTTTCCATTGTGTTCAGCCCCATGGGGGGAGAGGCGAGGGGGGAAGAAGGAAACAAGGAACCACCGAAATACTCAGCTACCCTTTGATTATGAAAAAATGATTTCTGCAAAAGAAAAAAAAAGTGCAGACAGTGTGGATATTCATTAATTTAAGTAGTTTTTTAACCTCCCAAATAAACAGAAATAACTATAAAGCAGATGCCCCTACTTTCTACAATAGAAACCAAACACTTAAGTGAGCTAAGGAACAGGTAGTGGTTAAGAATTTACTCACAAAGAAATCCCACAAATGAACTTGCTATAGCTTTGTTGAAAGAAAGGAAGTCATATCAGCCCTTCCCAATGTTCCCTTCCAACCTAGATATGCCCACATATGCTAGCAACAAACCACATCATCTCCATGACCACTAAGCAGTTCAAGGACTAGCAGGCCTTAAGTGCTCTCTCTCTCCCCCTCTGAGGCACACAAACAATTCCAGCCAGAAGTATATAACCAAGGAAAAAGGGTGTAGCCTAATCCTGCTCTTGCACACAGGCACCTGGCTATGGTCCACCAACAACTGACTTCTCAGCAGTGATGACATTCTGAAGATTCCTACCTTTAACAGAAACAGAAATGCATGCAGAGCTGGCTCTGGATATAAGAGACACAGAAAAATGTGTAACAACATTACTTATAATAATATAAATGTATAATAGTGCAATACCTAAATTTTTTCTCTTATACCCCAAACTATCAGCTATCTGGATAAATAGTTACTTCTTAGAGGATTTTCCTAAGGTTTATAAGTAAGCATTATATTGAATTACATAGAGATCCAAAGACAACGTATTGCTATTAGAAGACATATAAAAACTGATGCCAAATAGAATCTGCTCATTAAATGCTAAAGATTTTGTATAATAAACTAGTTTTAACCATGAATTACTCTCTCCCCTGACCATAAGGAGCCTTTAAGGATGAATCAAGTCAACAAAAGAACTATAGGCTCCACTTACAATAACATAAATTCAACAAAATATAGTTTAATAAAGGAGACTATGCAATTTGCCTTTCACTGTATGAAATGTAAAATCTATACCTATCACTATCTTTAATAGACTGTTCTACCTACCAAAATAACTAGTTTTCAAAATGAATTAACCAAAATCTCCCAAAGGCTAGCTACATCAAGATCTTTGAAATCGCAGCCAGATTTATCCACTTTCTAACACAAGACTACAAACAATCTCTAAAAGTTTGTCATCCATATTTAATCTATTATTCCTTATTAGAACTTTTTAACCAGGTCTTAGTACTTTTTTTTAAAAAAATCAATATGCAAAGGGAGCTTCAGTAATTATTTCATGAATACTAGTCCATTTTCTATCAGAATCTTTGAAACACTTTCTACTGTAGCAGTGGCATCATGCCTCACCCAGATCTATATCCAATTTCCTCAAAGAAGAAATTCATACCAGAAGTTCTACCATGTAAAATGGCCAAAATGACCTTTAGAATTTAAAACTCACTGTCATTACCTTAACCAAAACTATTTCAAAAGCAGTCATCAAAACAACTGTCTTCCAAATGCAGAGCCCTAGTTATGAAGATCAAATTGTTTCACAATATTTATCTTCTCTGTGAAATCAGGGTTGTACTGGTCAATGGATATAAGTCACCTTCCCATCAGTTATTCATAATCTCAAAAAAGCTATAAATAGCTAAATGAAACAATGAGACCAAATCAACTTAATAAATTATTAAAATATGATCTACTGATATAAACTGACCTTTCTATTTCCTTTCTCACATTTTGAAAAGAAACAAAACGCACTTTGGGGTCATACTTTCATTTCCACACTGCAAAACACCTCTCCTACAAGAGTGGTCATTTTCCATCCAAAACCCTGAAGGGAGAAGCTTGTCAGTTTAATAGGCAGGAACTTACGTACTTGGCCCTACCTCCCTTATTTAAATGAAAGAAACACCCACTCTGGTGTCCAGAAGTGGTAGACTTAGGAAAACACCACTTTGTCTGTATTGGTAGATGAGACATATAAAACTATACAAGGTTTCCAAGAAAAGCTGAACAATGAAGTGTCTAGGTGGAGTATATTAAGTATATAGGCCACCTAGGTACATCATTTTTGGTTGTATGTCATGTATATATAAATAAACTTACTTTTCTTTCACTTTGTCTCTTCCTCCTCTATGACACCAAGTTGAGAATAGTGAACTTTTTACTATTTCAGTAAGTGCATATTTTCATATTTTTCAAAATACAAGGCCCTTCTAGCCAACGGGGACCATTAAACCATTTCAGTCATTTCAATTCAGTTAGTAAAGTTCAAGGAATTCAAACCAACTTTTGCTATCTATCTAAGTAATAATGTAACAGGCAAGTTTTAAAAGTAGTTTTGTTTTAGCCAAAAAGTATATCTCGAAGTTGAAAGAAATGGTATGATGGCTCATATCTAATCAATATGTAGAACAACACTGAACAGATTGAATTAGGATACTACTGAATAGACTGATCAAAATTAAAGATAAACAGTTATTCTCAATAAATAGAACAGTGTAAATCAGACTCGGTAGGACTTCAGTGAATTAAAAGGACTCAATATTGTTGCTTATATTTCCTGAAGTACAGAAAATATTAGACTCTGATTTTCATATATCTTTCCATTGACCCAACTATTATAATATTTCAAGCAAACTCTATTTGAAAACCTCACACTGTTATCATGCAAGGTGACTGAACTGCAGAGGGCACTATAAGCATGACTTCCAACATAATTCTTAAGATAAATATTCTTCCAGGGTAGCCTTAGCCTTTAAGCTACTAAAATATATTTCAATCAAAAATTCCACATAAAAATGAATTTTTAAAGATAATTCATTGAAATTCTTCCTCAAATGTAATAATTATAAGGGGGAAAGTATACTACCTTCACTCAGGACAGTATTCCATGCTACCATTACCCATATAACAATCAAAAATAAGAGAACACATTTGTTTAAAAACAAAATCCTTCATATTCACAGTCAAAAACCACAGGTCATAATTCAAAATTATAAAATTCACTTACATGTAACACATTCTAAATGGTATTTTTAAGTATAAATAAGCAAACTTTTAAAAATAGGATTGACACATCACTGGGGAAAAATATAATAAAATATTCAACTTGATATAAGTATGATTTGGGGAGATTAAAAGTTATTCTAAAATGAAAAGAAAAAGGAAAACTTAATTTTACTTAATTTTGTATTCATAATTGTCATAGTATATCCCCCAGGTAAGTATTAACCTTCTTTCCCCAGACCCACAGTGACTCCTTGCACTGGTATGTCAGGTAATCTCAGGACATCATTTTCTGCACAAAGGAAAGTAATTTGCAATTAACAACTGAATTAAATTAGGTGAAGCTTTCCTTATGTGTATGTGCTGAGTAAAGGTACAATTTGGTGCTAAGTATACATTAATCTTCTTTCTTGCATTTCTTTTCTCCTTTTATCCATAATATATAATTAACCTTTTTGACATTATAAAACTTGTCATTACTAGTTACCATAAGTAATCAACCTCATACATATATAAATTCCAAAGTACCTCATAATATTAATAATTGCTAACAGTTATGAAGTGCTTACCATGTACCACACACTGTTCTAAGGAACTGTTATGTTAACTCAGTTAATCTTCACAACTCCGTAAAGCAGGCATTATTATCCACATATTATGAATGGAAAAACTGGATCAAGGAGATGCTATGAGGTGCCCAGGGGCACATGACTAATGACTGGTGTCAGTCACAACAGAAGGGGACCACATAATCTCAAATCAGATGCCCCTGAGATCAAACTCCAATAGAACTGATCCTTAACTAAGACCAAGCTGAAAGTATTAACAGGAGAGATTAAAATCTGTAAAGCATGATCAAAAGTACAACTCCACAATGAAGTAGGGGAATAAACAAAAAACAACTATGATTTTTGGCAAAATCCTGGGCAATTTTCACAGAGAAAAGCAAGGCCTGGCATGACAGGGTACGTACCCTGATAAGAGAGCCTAAACACAAGGGCAACAATCCCATCAATTTGGGAAATTCTACTCTAACTACCCCATTTTCCCTCAAACTCAGCATTATTTTATCTTCTTTTCTTAATTTGATTCCCCAAATAGTCTTCTCAACCAAAAAACTGTTCACTATAATCCTCTAAACTGACTTATACATATCTGCCTTCTCTAAGTTTGAGCAGAAGTCAGTCTTCTGAGGCATCCATATCCCCTGGACAAACTCATCACCAAAGTTCCACACTAAGAGAACTAAGAGACCCTCACTCTGAAGTACAAAGAATTACGACAAACTTGAGACCTCCCCACTGAATTCCTCACTGTCTGCAGTTCACTGCAGACCAACTGAACAACCACAATGGACAAGACATGCTTCACAGAGCATAGCTTCAGAATTTATATCAAACTATTAAGTTGTTAAGGAAACTTTACCTTCCACTTTAGAAATATCTAAACAGTTGGAACTTTTTGTTTTCTAAACATATATTCCTTTGGGGAGTGCTAATTTCAGGAATTTTCCTACTAAAAATATGAAGGAAATTTAAGTATCCAGTAATGTTAAGTAACCAGTAACTTTTATATTCACGAGTCTCACAAAACAGGGGGAAAAAGGAATTTAACCAGTTTTTTGTATTACTCAGAGAACTCTCCAATAAAAACAACCTAACAATGTCACAGGCTTCTTCACAACTTTGTTAATATTGTTGGTAAACACTGGTCCCATAATTGAGGGTTGACTAACTTAGTAGTGTCATGACATTTAAGAATAACAAACACATTCACAAATATTTTAAATAAAACACAGAGAAAAGAAATACCTCAAGTTCCACCAGAGCTGCAGTCACTGCATCTGTCGCAAGAGCGCCAGACTGTAGCTTTTCAATTGCCTATGAAACCAAGAGGAAAGATTATTCATTGTAAAACCACAACTGCTCAAACATACACAAGAACTTTCCAAAGACTTAAACAAGTGTAAGAGACACTTAGAATTAATAAAAATTGATCGCTATTGCCATTCTATACTTCAAGATATAAAGTATTTAGATTCAAAACAATCATTTAAAACAATGTATTTACATTCATAATAATTTATGACACAGTTCCCTTAATATTATTCAAATTAAGGCAATGTAAAAAAATCTAGCCACTAAATGCAAAGCACTAAGAATTTTATTAAGTGAAAGGATTTCATTCATCACAAGGCAACTCAAATAGCCATAGACAGTATATGAATTCAGTTTGGTTTAAATATCCTGACAATTCATATTTTAGATAGATAATTAAATCTCAGACTAAGCTAAATTCTCTTCCCACTGTTCCTATTCTCCCCACCCCTAACTATAAAAAAGTAGTGATGCCCAATCACAGAGGCATTTCAGAATCCTTAGATGGAAACATACATTTAACTAAAGCATTTTTGATACTATAATAGATTTTATAGTGAGATAAACAAATCACATTCTTTTGTAATATAAACTACAGAGAGTAAAGGTCTATAAAAATCACCCTGCTTCTTGAGTATAATTTAAGACATGAAAGAAAGAAGGAAGAATGATTTCTAAGTGAACTATGAAAGCTCCAAATTAGTCAATAAAGAGAAAGCTCAAAAAGAGAATTCTATTAAACTTTTAAGAAGCACATTCATTGTATAAATTGAGGAGGTTGATTACATACTCTAAATGAATTAGGTTTCTAGGACTATAGTAGTTCTATATAAGCAAAACATTCTTTTCAGATAATGAAAAGATTTCACACTTTAAAAAATAAGATAAAAAGTGTAAAAGAGCTTAGAGAACTTTTAACTTTATTATAAATTATTTTAAATATCCCTATAACAAAATATTCTTATTTATTTTTTATGGGATTTCATTCATAAGAAAAATTTGTATTTTTAATAAAATACAATCTTTCTTTTATAAGTATTAAACATAAATCAAAATAGCTGAGAGACTCAATTACATAATATACAATATCCAATTAACATTCTATTTAAATAAAAGTAAATGAAAGGTTTGCCTACAAAAGTACATAGTCAGGATCAAAATAAAAACAAACAATATTTGTTCTGATTCCATTCTTGATTCCACATTAAGTATTCAACAATTTAACAAAACCTCAAGAACCAAGGAGAAAAAAAGCACAACTGAGTACAAGGGCAAAGCTAACTTCAGGAATGACAATGAATTTCTATGATACAAACTACGTAATGAAAAACAGAAGGAAAATATACATGATAATCTCCTAAAGAAAAGCACCCATTTTCATTTGTTAGTTTTTTTTCTTCCTTCACTGAAAGACACACTGACTGCCTTTGAGCTATTTCCTACAGAGCTCAACGCCTTTGCAAAGATTAAAAGATATATGATTATGTACCCATGATCCCAAAAATACAGACTTTAATCTGGGAAAGATCTAAGCATGATTTGAAGATTTAAAAAAAACACAAAACAAAACAAAAAAGACCTCACAAACATGAGCAAAATTATTTTATGGTCCAAGCTAAAGATCATCTTATAAATAAAACCTTAAAATTTTGAATTTCAAGGTAAAGCTGCTTTATGGTCAAAACTGAAATGTTTGTATCATACCTTCTGACAAGCTCGTTTACATACATGTTTATATTCCTTGGCTTTGGATTCAGAATGATAACCTGCACCTGTAGTGGAACAAACCAACCAATTATTAATATTCATTAAAATGTCAGGGACCTTGCTTATATAAATAGTTCATACAATCTGATGCTCCCTAGTGACAATAAAACTACTGTCTTAACTGTATAGAGTTTTAAAAATCTAATAACTTCTTTCTCCACCATATGCCTTGTTAATTCCATGCCTTATCTTCTTTTTCAAAAGCTATTTTCCTGGAAGCGGCATTAGAAATAGCACATGTCCCCAAAGAAGCTTCACCAAGGTCATCTTTCCCCCTTTGGAAAAACCTCTCTCCAAAGATAGGAGTTTTTTGGTGTGGAGTTGATAACACAGGCAGTGTCAGGGAAAAAGAGTCCCTTCAAATTCTTCTCTGTTGACCTTCAGAAAGCACCTGCCATTTGGGAATCCAAAATTCTTAAAACTAACATCACAAAACTAGCTAGTTTCTAAATAACATTTAAAGTTGAGGGGTGTTAAACCCCACCTATCCACAACCACCACCAATATTATCACTCCTACCCAAACCTTTACATACTCTTACTCCTAGAATTTAAACTCAGAGTGTCTCTGAAAAGTTAGTGATTGTAGCCCTGGCTGGTGTAGCTCAGTGGATTGAGCGCAGGCTGCAAACCAAAGCATCGTAGATTCGATTCCCAGTCAGGGCACATGCCTGGGTTGCGGGCCAGGTCCCCAGTGGGGGCCACGTGAGAGGAAACCACACACATTGATGTTTCTCTCTCTTTCTCCCTCCCTTCCCCTCTCTAAAAATAAATAAATAAATAAATAATCTTTAAAAAATAGTTAGTGATTGTATATGCATGACTGCCTATTAGAAATTCTGTTGGTCCCAGGCTCTTAATCAAATACCCAGCAACTTCCTCAAGAGAATGGCTCTGAAATTTATTTCCCTAAACAGGTTAATACTTGCTTAGGTACAGATTGGAGAACGATCTAAATAAGAAAGAAACCAAGAGTCCTTAAACTTATGTGATAATTAGGCTTCTAATCAAAGTTTTGAACCCCATCCCACCCCACCCCATCTTATCTCCACCCAAGCCCCAAAGCCGCATAGGAGAACAAGGAAAGGAAGGTTAAGAACTACAATTCTAAGCCTCATGGCTTCTCCTGTGAGGCTGAAGACTGACACAAACGAAATTCTCCTTTCTCAAGGCAGAGAAGGAACTGGCCAAAAAGCTGTGGTTAAGGGATTCAAGAGCACAGAAAAGATGCCCAAGCAACAGGAATCCATAATACACCCAAATTCTAATCCATAATACACCCAAATTCTAATCCCATAATACACCCAAATTCTAAGAACTTCATAGAAATTGTGCCAATATTTAATAGCCCTCTCTTTACGGTCCTTTAATAGATCTGATTTCAGGTCTGTCATCTTAGATCTTAAGCCCCAATCTTTCACATTTCCCAAAGAATGGGACACTATTGCAAAATAGATCATTTTAGTGTATGGATAACAGCATTAATAGCTTTAACACATAAATCCTTCTCTTAGAATAGGGAAAAAAGTCTCAATATGTCTCCAGTAATTCCTCTATTTAACAAGGGAAAAGTAGGCTTAGGATATATGCCACTGATATTCAACAGTCTCTAACTAAAATTTAATTACAATGTTTTTTTTTACACTGGTTTAAAGTTATTTTCTCTTCACCCAAGTGATACTGGCATTCCATTTTAGAAAAGAAAAGTTTCATTTTTAAAACTTTAGGATAACAAAGTGTTTCATTTTTTAACATTAGGTATGATAGGGAAACTCAAGAGTTAAAAGATTTCAGCCTTAGTTGATAGGCTTCAGTGATTAATGCACATGGAAAGCTGTTATTCCAGGAACTGGAATACATGACCACATGATTCCAGGAAGTCAACAAGCAATTCAACCCTTGTTATCCAGGGGGTCTGCAAGCAACAGAGACGGTATCTGGGCCACTGTGTTCCAACGAGGGAACTCCATAATGTAAAGAATTGCTGAACAGATGAGAAGTAGTAGGAAAATTACCGCCAACTGCAACTCTTACCCAATTAACCATTTTTCCAAACCCCTTACCTACCCTTTCTTCTTATAAAAAAATAGGCTTAAGATAAGATGTTAAGACAGTTTTTGAGGGTACATAGCCCACCATCTTCTCAGATTACTGGCCATCTGAATAAAGCACCCATAAAGATTTAATCCTTATCTCTGGTTATTGGTTATACTAGGGACAGGCAGCAAAAACACCGACTCTTCTGGTGTCACGAAAACAATAGAAGTAGTAGACAGATCTGGCAAAAATCTAGAATCTAAAGAATCTACTACTCAAATAACTAAAATTTGGGTAAATCTCCTCTAGTATGAAAAAAAAATAATTAAAATCTCTACACTGAATGAGAAATTGAAATTTTGTCTCTTGGTTGTACAAGACAGATACTTCTGCATAATCAATCATCCTATCTGAACTTCTAATAATTTAGAAGGGCAGGTCACCCTTAATTCACACAATCTTGCCATAACTCAAGATTTTCTCCAGTTACAAGCTGGCCCCCAGCACCAACTTTATCTAGGAGCCATTACCATTAAGTTTGTATTTGAGAAAGGACGGATACCATCATGATAGCCACAAAAACCAGCACTTTCCTAACTAATCTAAAGCTCTATCTTAATATTTGTTATAAATACCAGACTTCCTCATACAATTTTCAAACACTGAAATAAAATAACTCACTGGGTACTATGAAAGATGTACCTTCAACATGGTGTACCAGAAAGAACACTGGCCTTGGAGTATGAAGGCAGGAGGTTCTAGTCCCAGAATTATTTCTATAAAATTACTTCATTTCTTTGTGAAAGCATTTGAAAGAAAATGAAATTAAATCTTTGTGTTTTTTTTTTTTTTTCAATTCTTCTGGATTAGATTCTATAAGACTTCCCAAGATGTCAGGTCTAAATACAGTCAAAGGTTAATGAACCACCAAGAAAGACACCAGTTTGACAACAAATATTTCCCCATAGCAAAGCTAATCTTGCTTCCATAATGCTTGGATGAATGAGGAAAGCGAAAAGGGGACCCAGTCATTCCTTCTTCCTTCAGGGAAATCATAAACTTTAAAATCTGAATACCACACAGGCAAATAAAAATGACTAAAGAAAAAAAAAAGGCCTGCTGAAAAGACCTGGGCAGAGGTACAGAACTCTGAACCCAAGACCCTTCAATGATGAGGAACCCAAGGGTTAAACTTCACAGTAATCTGTCCTTGTGGTCCTCTCAAGTAGATAGAGATCATAGGCTGATATAGGTATATTGCTAAGAGCACTAGACTGGAACTTAAGGGCCCACTTAAAGGTTTCTCAACTTGGCTGTAGCAGGAACTAGCCAAGTGCCTAAAGCCATTCAATCTCTCTGGTTTTAAGATCCCTCACATACCATATTAAGAAGGCAAACTAGCTCTAACACTGTGTAAATATACTCTCAGATAGCCATAGTCAAATATGGGGGTCAATAAAACTTTTTCAGGATCATTACTTTTAAAACTACAAACCAGAGTTTAAAAAAAGTACTTTGGTTTAAACACTATCTAAATACATCTATTATATAGAGTAAAAGTAAGGGATAGGATAGAGGAGTGAAGAAGACATAGGGAGAGTTGTCATTACAAGATCTTCCTAGTTGGTATTAGGAGAGGCCTTCACTATATCGAAGTCAATCTCTTTTTATTCCAATTCCTCTCTGGTACTGTGTTCTTCCAGAGGTGAAATTCAACTTCCAGTGTACTTTAAGGCAAGAAAAAAATCAACATTATTTTCATCTTCCGACTCAATTACTTAAGAGTTTACCTGCATGCACCAACACAAAGCCCCCTCGCTTCTCTTTATGGGACTGCTTTGTTTCCAGTTCTTTGGCTGTTATTTTAACAGCTGAAACCTGAGATGATCTGGAAGGCAGCCCTTCTCCAGAACTCATCCCCTTCTCCATGGTCATTCTCCAAGTTTACCATCTTCTATTGGAAAAAGAGCATACTTCCATCCAAAAGTAATTGCAGGAGAAGAATTACCCTAAAGGAAAACAGACAAAGATGGTATGCATTCCTTTCCACTAGCACACACATAACTTATACAAATTAGTACAAAGATAACTTACCAAAAAAAATAGTAATTTTAAGTTATTTAACTGGCTAATACAAAGAATATAAAAAGGTTAGAATTTAAATCTCTGTCCACTGACAGTACTTGTCTGAAGTCATATAAACAAAAGAACTGTTATAAAAAGACTTCATACTGAGTCCAAAGATATTTTATCTTTCATTGTATCTACATTAAAGAAAAACTCAATATAAGTTAAATATTACTTTCTACTCCCTCCAAACCAAATGGTAATAATGTGTGGGACATTTTAGAATCAGGCTGCGCTGGCAACGTCACCAAGCCTTGGTATAAAGCCTAGATTACTGCTTACTTTTTTTTTAAGATTTTATTTATATATTTTTAGAAAGAAGGGTAGGGAGGGAGAAAGAGGAGAGCAACATGGATCAGTTGCCTCTGGCAAACCCCCAAATGGGGATCTGGCCCACAACCCAGGCATATGCCCTGACAGGGAATTGAACCAGCAGCTTTTCAGTTAGCAGGCCAGCACTAAATCCACTGAGCCATAACAGCCAGGGCTGCTGCTTCCTTTTTTTTCAGCTTTATTGAGATATAATTGACATGTAACATTATGTAAGTTTGAAGTGTACAATGTGATGATTTGACATTCATATATACTGTAAAATGATTACAGTAAGGTTAGTTTACACATTCATCACCTCAACTTAACTACAATTTTTTAATGTCATGAAAACTTGTGAGATCTATAGATTTCTGCTTAACAAAGCAACATATATACATTCACACTGTCTGTGAAGAACCTCTTAAGAAAAACAGTCTAATGCTCCACAGCTCAACCATAAAACACAATGCTACCAAAATTATATGACTAAACCAAGAAATTAAAGTAACAGTTGTGCAATACCTGTTAATTTTTATGAAAGCATTATTTCCAAGTTTCTCAACAGATAAGTAATAATAATGAGACATAAAATTTAATAAAATAAATTACCAGCAACTTATACCATAAAGTTTCTATTTTTCTCACAAGCTTACAAGTTTCTAGCAATCTTGGCTTAATAACAATAACAATAGCAGAACACATTAAGGAAAAATGGATTATTTAAAAACTCAACACGTTTGAAGAAAATTTGAGAGTAAGGTGGTTGAAACTACTTAAACTTACACTTGTACTGTTACGTAAAATCTTTACCTTATTCTAAAGTGACAAATGGGGAGGAACACAAGGCTTTCTTTTCTAATATGAAACACAAATAATAACATAAAGAGTGACTTAGGTAATTCGTCCAAAAAAGCAGTGTTACTCAAAATATGGTCTGCATACCAGTGTTTGTTACCAGTCTGAAATAATTATTTTATTAATATATCAATTGCTTTTATGCATATTTTCAATAAATAATGTAGAGCTTTGTATTTCTGTTCAATTTCCTCATGTTTTACTTATACCATTACTTTTTTAATTTAACAATTTTATCTGATAAATCTAATAAAACCTGAACTTTTACTTTTATCTTTCATTCACACTTCCATATTTGTTTTGTTTGGGTTTTGCTTTGGTTTTGTTTTTGATTGTTTTTGTTCAGTTCATGGTCAGCAATAAACTGAAAATTTTTTGAAGCTGGTCCTTTACACCAGAGATGGTCTGAGAAGCACTGTAATATATTTAACTTCCTCTAATTCTTGGTTTAAAAGAGTCCATTTAATTTTTATTATATAACATTTATTTTAAAGGGCAAATGGTATATGCTATTGTATTAAAATGTTTACATATATTCATAAACACAGGGAGAAATTTTTTTATTACAAAAGAGTGCTGAGCTGATTAAATAAACAGTGAATTTAAATGCCAGTTTTTGTTTTTGTTTTGTGGTGGTGCCTGTCTTTCTAAGGATGAATTTTCTTCCAAAAACTTCACAAGGATCTGCATCAATTACCTTTTATAACTTTGATTATTTCTCTGAGAGAGGTTTCTATTTATTCATGTGTCAGTTAAATTTAAATGATTACGGTTCATCTGCCAGCCTCTACAGGCCATGTAGGACCCAGCCATGAAATGAGCTTGGACTTGCTAGTTTCCACAAAAATATGTTGAATAAAAACTCAGGTATTGGAAAATTGAGAGCTTCAGTTAAAATAAAAAACATATCCAAGTACTATGGGTTATTAAACTCCAGGCAACTCTGTTTTCAGATGCATTTTTAATCAATAAATTAGAACATCATTTTATAATGATCACAGCTTGCTATAATACTTTTAAAAATACATATATGAAAGATTTTAAAATACTACTTCTCCAGTTGCCTTAAAAAAATAAAATCCAGAAGATGAATTAATGTTATTTCTTGAGCAACCTACCATCCCTTGGAGACTATCTGAAATATATTTATCTTGCCATGTCATCTCAATAAACTTCAAAAATGCTGGCCCCAAAGTTCTGCTGGACTGGAAAAAGAACTCAAGTAGACTCAAGTACAGCTCTGGCCTCCAACTCTCAATGGTTACCAGAATGTTTTTAGTTCAACTAGAAAAGAAGCAATTTCTACTCCAACATCAGTTTTTGTTCAACTCAAAACCCATTAAAGGTCTGACCTACCTAATAAATAAAGAGTTCCAACAAAGAACTAAAAAAGACAAAAAAGGCCTAATGGGCAAATCCCAGTTCACAGAAAAATTACAGAACAGATTAAACAGATCAGAAGATACTAAATCTCACTCAAAAGAAAGATGCAAAATAAAACACTGAAATATTTTTTTAACTTGGATTGGTAAACATCTAAAAGTAAAGTAATAAAAAAACAGTAAGATAAAATTCATGTTTTGAGGATATGAGAAACAGGAATTCACATACATTGCTAGTGGTAGTATAAAATAATACAACTCAACAATGGCAACTGGCAAAATCGAACAAAATCACAAACACAAAGAGGAGAGTCTATAACAGGAAAGCTATAAATCAACCATATATCTGGACAAAACTGGTTAAAAAGCAGCCACTGGAAAAAATGAGAACATTCTTAATATATAAATATGGAATGACAGATCTTGAAGATATTTTGTAAGTAAAAAACACATAATACAGAATTATATGCAGTACCATATTTGAGGGAGGGGAAAAACTAATACATATAAATATATGTGCAAAGTACAAATCTGGAAAAACATACCAAAAAAACAGATTAGTAGTCATCACCAGTAGATATGGATAACTGATGAACAAGGTGATATGGAAATTTTACTGTTCATCATTTTTGTACCTTGCAATTTGAACAATCTCAATGTATTATTTATAAATATAATTTATATATTTATTTATTTATGGGAACACAAGGTAACTAGCCAAGTCCAAGTTCCAAAATAAGTCAAGTCTGTGAGATCCCACTTAAAAACTGCAGTAAGAGGGGAAATGCCATATTCTAAAACTTCTCAACACTATTCCTACCTAGGGAAGAGATAGACCAGGGGTGTCAAACTTATTTTCACTGGGGGACCACATCAGCCTCGTGGTTGCCTTTTAAAGGCTGAACATAATTTTAGGACAGTATAAATGTAACTACTCCTTAACTAGGGGCAAAGAGCTCTACATTTGGTCCTTTATAGGCAACCTTGAGGCTGATGTGGCTGGCGCTCAGTGAAAATGAGTTTGACATCCCTGGAATAGACAGAAACATGGCTAATCAACGATACTAGCCCAAGAGGCCTTTTGTTCTTGTTTTTCTGGATCTTTAACTTCTGGGGCCATACAAACTACAGGTAATCCAAATTAAAAACAAATATATCTTAGTTTTCGATCTCTATAGTTAACTAAAAAGTTAAAAATAAATCATGACCATAGATTAACATCAAATATCCCAGTGATGCTTTTATCACATTTGGAGTCATTATTACAAATCACTATTTCAAACTGATGAAAACATACATCAATACAGTCACAAAAAAAATGTCTAGCATTTCAGCTAAGCTTTGAGGTAATACTCAACACTAAGTGAAAGGCAATGCATAAGCATGTTACAGTTTCATAGAATAAAAACACAATTTTATAGATCATTTTTATCATGTCTTCATTTCTGAATATGTCTGAATATGACATTTTACAATTTCCTACCAGCAATAATTTAAAATTAATTTTATTATTTCTAAAACACACTGGCAATTTGTCCATCCTCTGCCATAGTTGCTTGAAAAGTTAAACATAAAGTTAGCATATAACCCAGCAATTCTACTCCTAGGTAGAGACCCAAGAGAACTGAAAACATGTCCACACAAAAACTAGGACATGGATATTTAGAGCAGAATTATTCATAAGAGTCGAAAAGTGGAAACAACTCAAATGTCCATAAACTAGTCATGATTAAATACAATACATCCATACAAAGGAACCTTAGCCATAAAAAGGAATGGCATATGATACACACTATGGCATAAATGAACCTTGAAAACAATGAAAGAAATCAGACAACAAAAGGCCACACGTTGCATATTTTCATTTATATGAAATGTCTATGGTAGACAAATATAGACAGACAGAAATTAGATTAGTGGTTGCCTAGGATTGGGAGGCGGGAGGGGAATTGGGGAGTGAGTGCTAAGAGGAGCAGGGTTTCCTTTGGGGGCAATAAAATGTTCCAAAATTGACTGCGGCAATGATTGTAGCAATGCTTACACAATTCTAAATGTACTAAATACCACTGAATTATACACTTTAAGTGGGCAAATTACATGATAAATTAGATATTAATAAAGCTGTTTAGGAATTTTCAAAACTTCTTACATTCCATAAGTTATATCTTTACCCATAAGATATATCTTTTCCAACTTACCAAACCTAATGGGCTTCTTTTAATCCTCTCCTTATAACCTTTGATTCCCTAGATCCCCTCTTCTCCTTGGCAGGTATTCCAATCTACTATCCTAGCTCTTCATGGCCCCTGTGACACCTCCCAACTTTGTCTTCTCACATGACTGGCAGACAGCCTGTCCATGGACCTATTCTCATATGTCTCCTTCAGCAACCTTATCCACCACCAATCTTTCAAATTATACTCTCAGTAAATCAGATGATTCCTAACTCTTTATCTTGTGTCCCTAGAGCTCTAGCCACATGTCTAGATCCACGTCTTGATAGCTCAACCTGGATCCTCCTCACTCTTAGCCCGCCCGAAGCAAATTCTCCTCTTCCCAGAAATCTAATTGTTTCCACATTATTCCTTATTTTTCTCAATGACACCATCCTTTTCTAACTTGCCTTAAAGACATCTTCAACTGCACCCAGTTTGCAAATCCTAGAGATTTCCCCCTCAAGCATTTAACTTCCTTTTCCTTACTGCCTTGACCTTATTCAGCTCACATACCTCTTAGCATAAAAGTTACAAAAAGCATTTTAACTTTTTCCCTCAAGTCCAGGTTATCATAAAGCATCGATCCATAAAAACCTGCCAAAAAAGTCTCATAAGGACAACTCCAGTACTGTAAAAACAAACAGCAAGACAAAAGACATGAGGAGACAATATACAAAAGAGGAAATATAAATGGATTCCAATATTAAGGAAAGAACATTCAAAGAAATGCAAACGAAAATGAAATCTTCTAACTAGCACTGTATCTGCCACCAAAAACTGATATAATCAATTTTTAAAACATGTTAAGATCAAGAGCCTTAAAATGTATCATTTGTATATATTATCTTTCCAGAGGTACCCTATGCATGAACCAGTCTACACAGACATAAGTAACAGTATCACAGATACCTCTAAGGAGAACTGGGAGACTGAGAGGAAAAGGTAACAGGGAAACTTGATTTTCTCCCAATAACCTTTGTATTTGAACTTTTTCTTTTACTGGGTACTATACTACAAAGAGAATATTTAAATTAGCCATCTTTGAGACCATGATGAATGTAATTAATTTGATTATCAAGGCCAGTAGAGAAACTCAGAATAAAACATCACTTTTGCTCCAGAGACTTTCATAGCACTGATTGAAGGTCTAAATTTTGACCCCATTTCTCTCAAAAATCATTTTATTTTCCTATTGCATGTGATGACATTTTTTTTCCTTTAAACCATTTACAAAACTACCACATGTCCTGTTTGCCCTCATGTGGAAAGACTAAGATTTACATAGTCTTTTAGAAGCAATTGAAGGAGGAAGTTGTGTAATCCATCCCTCTTACAGGTTTTTACAAGATACCTAGCCCTTCAGCTATAGCAACTGTAATCAGGAAACATTTTGTTGCTCTTTTAACATCATGACACTGAAGGTACAATGCCCCATTAAATGAACTCCAAACCATACTTCTTTTATTAAAAAAAAAAATCGATATATTTTTAGAGGAAGGGAAAAGGAGGGGGAAAGAAAGTAAGAAAACATAGATTGGTTGCCTCTCACATGCTCCCAACCTGGGACAGCGCTGGCAACATGCCAAGCATGTGCCCTGACCAGGAACTGATCCTGCAACCTTTCACTTTGTGGGACAACACCCAACCTATTGAGGCATGCCAGTCAGGGCAATTTTGTGTTTTTTTAATCCTCACCAGAAGACAGGGGAAGGGAGCAAGACAGATGGGGAGAGATATATATTCAAGAGAAAAACATCAATTGGTTGCCTCTTGTATGCATCCCAACAAGGATCAAACCCACAACCTAAGTATGAACCCTGACCAGAATTGAACCTGTGACCTTTAGGCTTCTGGGACCATGCTCCAACCAACTGAGTCACATCTGACAAGGCCAAAACATACTATTTCATACTTATTTCATCTTGGACAAGTGATTCTGTTGGAGATAGCACAGGAAGAACTCTTGAGACTGTGCTGCTGTTGCTGGCCAGTGCTGGCATCCTGGTTGCCAGCCAAAACCTTTTAACACTTATGTAGCAGTTAGGACTGAGTGGCCAGAAGGGAAATAAAGGCAGGGCCCTCACCATTGCAACCTAACAAAGAACTTAATACAAGAGGCTAAAAGCAAAGGAAGATGCACCTCACCCATGATCCAGTAGTCCTGAGCCTGGTTCAATAAGACTGCCAGACATTCCAAACAAGATGGTGCAGGGGGGGAAGTCCTTGGAAGTCTGTGTGTATCATCTCCACTATTTTGGAAAAGGAAAACCTTGAGACTGTGTATTTATTCCAAGGCCTGGAAGGGGAGGGGGTCTACAGTGCTCAGAGAAAAAGCCCAAGAAACAACTCTGGTTAACTGCCTGACCCCTGTCACACATGCAGAATGAACAAGTAGAGGCTGGAGCAAGATAAGAATTCAGGGGCTAATAGACCCCCAGCCAGGCCTATGTTTTGGTAGTCATGTCTGGGGGGGTGGGGGTGGCGGGAAGCTGGCACTACCCTTACCTTACCTGTCAATCAATATGTAACATCTTCATCCCCATCTTGCTCTCTTCTCTCAGCTAGTGGCTCTCTGCCCACAGGGCACTTCAAGGGCTCTGGCCACCCAACTTCTGACCACCCTGTTTTTTGCCACTCCTGCTCTTGCCACCCTTGCTTTTGCTCTCCCATTAGAATTTAGCACTAATAAACTTTGTGTGCACACTAATAAGCTCGGTGATGAGTAAATTCTTTACTCTGTTGGTGAGAAGAACCAGGGTTTCTCAAGCAACACTTCTAGGACACCATTCAAGAAAGAGAAAACAAACTCCTCCAAATGGAGAAAAAGGAAAAAACTATTGCAAATCATATATCTGATAAGGGACTTATCTGGACTGTGTAAAGACCTCACAACTTTAAAATAAAATTTTAAAAAGTAAATTTAAAAATGGGCAAAGAAATTAAATGGACATTTCTCCAAAGATGCAAAAGGCCAGTAAGCACAGGAAAAGATGCTCAACATTATCAGCCATCAGGCAAATGCAAATCAAAAAAACAATGACATACCATTTCACAGCCAATAGTACAGCAATAATCAAACAGACAAGTATTAACAAGAATAGAGAAATCTGAATCCTCCTAGCCTGCTGGTGCAGGTCAGTTTTGAAAACATTTGGCAGTTCCTCAAAAAGTTAGTTACCACATGACCCAAAAATTCCACTCCTAGGTACATACCCCAGGGAACTGAAAACATATGTCCACACAAAAGCTTGTACATGGATGTTTATGGCAAAATTATTAATAGCCAAAAAGTGGAAGCAACTCAGATGTCCATTACCAAAATGTGGCATATTTATATAATGGGATAATACTGACCCATAAAGCGGAATGGAGTGATACTACATAATACAACGTAGATTAACCTTGAAAACATTATGCTAAGTGAAAGAAGCCAGACGCAAAAGGGCACATATTATGTGATTCCACATAATAAAGATTCTACACACAAAAAAGATTAGTGGTTGCCAGGGGCTGAAGAAGCAAAAGGGCAGGGGGGCAGATTTAATTGGGAATGACTACAATGGGTACAAAGTTTCTTTTGAAGCTGATAAAAATGTTCTGGAATTACATAGTGACATGTGAACTTTGCGAATATAATAAAAAAAATTTCACAATTTTAAATGGATTTTATTGTATGTAAATTGTATCTCAGGAAAGAAAAAAAACCTAGCCACATAATGAGTGCAACGTACAAAAAGTATGCTTTTTAGTTAACACTCCTTCCTAGAAATCAATCTAGAAGATTGACTCCGGAACCCTTTCGAATAGCAAAATCCAAGGATGCTCAAGTCCCTTACAATGTAGCATTTTTTTCAAACATTTTCAGTCTGTGGTTGTTGAATCTGCACAGGGAATCCGTGGATATGTATGAACAACTGTAATTATATCTTATACAAATACACTATGACCATAAGTAGAATAGGCTATGAAAAATTACAAAGAAAAGTCAAAGCCAAGGTTGATGAGGCTCAGCGTATTGAGCTGCCCTACAGACCAAAAACCTGTGGGATGGATTTCCAGTCAGAGCACATGCACGGTTTGAATGACAGGTCCCAGTTGGGGCTTGGGAGAGGTAACAATCGATGTTTCCCTCATATATTCATGTTTCCCTCCCTTTCTCCCTCCTTTTCCCTCTAAATCTAACTAAATAAAACATGTTTAAAAAAAGATTAAAAAGCCAGGTTACTGGAACTATAGTTGATTTCTTAAAATACTTCTGCATTTCCCATATATTCTTTAATAAGCATGCACCACTTCTTGGAAGTGGGGGAGGAGGAGCTTTATTTAAAACAAACTGAAAAGGAAATTATTAAACTCCTGAGTGTATATATTCCTTAATAGTCAATGATTTCAGTCACATGGTCCCCAAAATACCTTTTATTTCCCCCCCTACACAGGCCAAATTGAATTCCCTCCTTCCGGAAACACGATGCCCGCTCTTTCCAGGGCACCTCCGGCCAGTTTTCCACCCTCCTCGACAACTGCTGCTCCTTCTCGGTCCTTTCCTCCTCCTCTTCCTCCGCGTGGGGAGTAAATGCTAAGGTCCTGCGGAATTCTAACCAGGCCTTTATTACACGCGAGGCTCTTTGGCCCCAACCGGCCACGCAGGGCTAGGGTGCACACCCTCCGGACCCTGCGCGCCTCACACGTGGAGAAACCCGCAGCCGGAGACTGCAGACTGGGTGAAGGACAGCGAGGACTATCCCCACACACAAACAGTCCCTTTCCTGCAGAGGGAATGTGGTCGCCAAACTGGAGCCAAGACTGGGAAGGAGGCCGGGGCGGGCCCCACTCGCGGAGAAGGGAACGAGGGATGTCTCGGGTCTGCTCTTTCACCACCGCCCCAGGCCTGAGGCATCCTGCGCACCGCCCCCTCCCGGCCCTGGTGAGGAGGTCCCAACGACCGCACGGGGCCCAAACGGAGGAAGCGACCCGGCAGCGGCGCGGACAGCGTGAGAACGAAGGACACTCACCCGCGTCAGCCCCGAGCCCTCACAGCACCGGAAGTAGTCACCAACCCGTTGCCAGGGTGAGGAAGCGAGGTGACGTCCAGCCCTATCATTAGCATTGAGCGTTACCACGTGTCCGGAAGCCTACGTTCACGCTCTTCTCTAACTCCGCCCACTGCTCCAGAGCATTTCACCTAGCCACAGAGGTGCTGAGGGCACTCGGCCTCTAAGTCTCGTTCTGAACTGCGCAGGCGCTATTATTTATACCACCTCGCCCCGCCCTTAGTCAGCCAGAGTAAGTGACAACGTCTGATCCCAGTGGTTGGCTGACTAGCAAGCAAAGTGATAGGAAACGAGATTAAAGTGGCCACTATTTATTGAGCTGTCATCTAAAAGCTGAGTTTCATTAAATCCTTTCAGGCCCCGTATACAGTAGGGGAAAAGGGTTCTTCCTGGATTGCACTAGGAGGTGGGGGCTAGCCTTGCCGTAGGGAGAATGAAAGTGTGGGTGGCCTTTTAGCATCTATCACCTAAAACCAAGACGCAGAAATAATGTTATCCGTTTGTTGTTTCCTTGTAACTATAAACAAGAATCTATTACCGTACACCCACCTTTAAACCTGCCTTGGGAAGCAGATTTAAAAGAATAAAGCAGTAGTTCTCCAAGTATTGTCCCCAGACCAGAGCTTAGTATCACTGGCTCCTACTAGAAATTTAAATTATTAGGCCTCACTTAAACTTACTAAATCAGAAACTTTGGGTTTAGTACTCAACAACATATATTAACAAGCCCTCCAAGTGATTATCATGTGCCTAAATTTTGAGAACCACAGACCTAGAGGGACTTTCTCTTTGGCCTACTTGTAGAGGTGGGATGGGAAGGGTGATGTAAGAAGCTCCTCAGAAGTGAGGAAGCAATAAACAATTTGTGCCTCAAGCTATCAAGAAAAAAAGAAAGGCAGTTAGGGGTAAGTATGGGAATGAGACCCTGGAGTTTATTCCCATTCTGGTATTCCTAGGTAAAAATATATATAAATTGTATGGGAAAGGTTTCTCAACTGCTATTAATCTCAAATTCATTTTAATAACTTTTGTATTATGTAATGTATTTTTCTGTTTACATTCTTCAATGTATTTTTCTGTTAATATTCTTCTCTATGGACAAAAGTAAAATGATAGAAAACAATATGAGGTTTCCTCAAAACTTAAAAATAGGTCTGCCACATAATCCAGCAATTCCAATTCTGCGTATATGCTTAAAGGAAATGAAAACAGGATTTCAATAAGATATATGCATTCCTATGTTTATCACAGCATTATCCATAAGAGCCAATATATAGAATCTATCCAATTGTCTGTCAATGGATGAGTAGATTTTTTTAATGTGATATATAGACAATATTATTCAGCCCTGAGAATGTGGCATTTCCTTCCATTTGTGACAACATGGATGGACCTTGAACACATCATACTAAGGTAAATCAGACAGGGAAAGGCAGAACTGTATAATATCACTTACATGTAGAAAGTAAAAAAGTTAGATCTGTAAAAAGAGTGAAATAGCTAGCAGTAACCAGGGGGTAAGGGAAATATTAATAAAAGTGATGATGTTCAAGGGTACAAATTTGTAACTAGTAGTAAATAAGCCATGGAGAGTTAATGCACAGTATAATGTATATAGACAATAATATTATACTATAATTATGAAATATCACATCCTCTCAATTAGATAAGGTACTCCCTACCCTTCCCCCAAAATTACTTTTTTCTTCTGCAATTTTTAAAACCTTGGGCAAGACAAACAAACCAGGGATTACTTGACTCTCTTTTCAAACTCTGATGACAACAAACACATTGTCTTTTGAACCCTCACAAAGATTAGCAAGGTTATAGGAAGCCTAGTCACCATCTCTGTTTTTATGCTTGTAGACTGTCTGTCCATCTGTCTGCCAGTATCTGGCCAGCTCTGTCATCAATCCTGATTTATAGGGCAATATAAATGTGTTTCCTGAGCAGCATACTGTCCTAGCCATTTGTCCTGGGGTTGTTTAATTTAGCACCTTTGTCCACATTGTCCTACCTTATTTTTTAACATATTTATTGATTATGCTATTACAGTTGTCCCATTTCCCCCTCTTTATTCCCCTCTGCCTTGCACACCCCCTCCCACCCATATTCCCCGCCTTTAGTTCATGTCCATGTGTCATACATTTAAGTTCTTTGGCTTCTACATTTCCTATACTATTCTTACCCTCCCCCTGTCTATTTTCTACCTACCGTCTATCTTACTTATTCTCTGTACCTTTTCCCCCTCTCTCCCCCTCCCACTCCCCTGATGATAACCCTCCATGTGATCTCCATTTCTGTGGTTCTATTCCTGTTCTAGTTGTTCACTTAGTTTGTTTTTATTTTTGTTTTAGGTATGGCTGTTAATAACTATGAGTTTGTTGTCATTTTACTGTTCATATTTTTTAATCTTCTTTTTCTTAGATAAGGACCTTTAACATTTCATATAATAAGGGCTTGGTGATGATGAACTCCTTTAACTTGACCTTATCTGGGAAGCACTTCATCTGCCCTTCCGCTCTAAATGATAGCTTTGCAGAATAGAGCAATCTTGGATGTAGGTCCTTGCCTTTCATGACTTGGAATACTTCTTTCCAGCACCTTCTTTCCTATAAGTCCTCTTTTGAGAAATCAGCTGACAGTCTTATAGGAACTCCTTTGTAGGTAACTATCTTCTTTTCTCTTGCTGCTTCTAAGATTCTCTCCTTATTTTTAATCTTGGGTAATGTAATTGTGATGTGCCTTGGTGTGTTCCTCCTTGGGCCCAACTTCTTTGGGACTCTCTGAGCTTCCTGGAAGTCTTTTTCCTTTGCCAGATTGGGGAAGTTCTCCATTATTTGTTCAAATAAGTTTTCAATTTGTTGCTCTTCCACTTCTCCTAGCACCCCTATAATTCAGATGTTGGAACATTTAAAGATGTTCTGGAGGTTCCTGAGCCTCTCCTAATTTTTTTGAATTCTTGTTTCTTCATTCTTTTCTGGTTGAATGTTTCTTTCTTCCTTCTGCTCCACACCATTGATTAGAGTCCCAGTTTCCTTCCCATCACTGTTGGTTTCCTGTATATTTTCCTTTATTTCACTTAGTATTGCCTTCATTTATTAATCTAATTTGCATCCAAATTCAACCAGTCTTGTGAGGATCCTGATTACCACTGTTTTGAACTGTGCATCTGATAGGTTGGCTATCTCTTCATCACTTAGTTGTATTTTTTCTGGAGCTTTGATCTGTTCTTTCCATTGGGCCATTTTTTTTTGTCTTGGCATGCCTGCTAGTGTAAGGATGTCCACCAGGGTGGGGCAACCTTGCTGCTTTGTGAGGCTGTATGTGGGGGAAGGGTGGAGAGGGAACAGTAGCGCTTGCTCTGCTCTCTGCTCTATTTCAGTCACTTCCCCCGCTACCCACAGGCAAATTGGGGCCTTCTGGTGCTAATTCCCTGTGGGTGGGTTTGTTTTCATTCTAGGACCCTGTGGGTCTCTCCAACGAACTCTCCTGTGAGGCTGGGAGTTTTCCCCACTGCTGCCTCAACCCCCACAGGCGTTTTCAGTCAGTGATTTGAGGCTTTATTTTCTCACACTGAAACCCTAGGTTGCGCAGTCTGTCTCGATCCCCAGCTGTTCCTCCCAGTTTATCTGCTCATGAATGTGGACCACCCTGCTCCGCCAGCTATCACTTTGTTGCGCGTCCTCTCTACCTGGCTGCCTTTCTCTGCCCCTCCTACCGGTCTGAATGAATGTTTCTTCTTTAACTCCTTGGTTGTCGGACTTCCATAGAATTCAATTTTCTGCCAGTTCTGGTTGTTTTTTGTTTTTAAATTGTTCTTCTTCTTTTGGTTGTGCGAGGAGGCACAGTGCGTGTACCTAGCTTCCATCTTGGCCGGAAGTCCTATCTTATTTTAATATGTAATAATCCCTCACTCTCTCATAAACTTGTTGGGAAAATTAAAAGAAACTTACTGAATTAAACCACTCAGTTGCTCAATCACCTTTCGCTGACCACTTTGTTGTATTGTTTTTTACCAGCTTTATTGAGGTATACTTAATATGTTTTAAAAAGCACATATTTAATGTATACATTTTGCTCAGTTTGGACATATGTATACTCCTTTGATACTGTCCTCCCAATCAAGGCGATAAAAATATTCATCATCTCCAAAAGATTTCTTGTGTCCCTTTGTTGGTTTTTTTGGGGGGTGGAGGTGAGTAAGAAAACTTAACATGAGATCTGCCTTCACAAGTTCTACCTTTTCAACAAGCTTTTAAGTACACAAATTGCATTGTTAACTATACACCATATGCTGTATGGCAGATCTCTGGAAATTTTCATTTTGTATAACTAACTTAGACCCATTGAACAACACTTCCCCATCTCCCCTTCACTGAACCTCTGGAAACCACCATTCTATTCTCTGATTCTGTGAGTTTAATTATCTTAATACCTTATATAACTGGAATCATTCAGAATTTGTCCTTCTATTACTGGCTTATTTCACTTAGTGTAATGTCCTCTCTGTCACACAGGGCAGGTTTCCTTTTTTTAAGTCTGAAAAATATTCTCTTGTATGTATAAACCTCATTTTCTTTATCCAGTGGATAATTGCATTGTTTCCATATCTTGGCTATTGTAAATAATGCTACAATGAACATGGGAATGAAGCTGTTTCTTCCAGATCTAGATTTTAATACTTTCAGATAAATATTCAGGAATGAGATTGCTGGATCATCACATCCCTCTTCAAGTCACCACTGATTCATTCCCTGCTTTATCTCTGTCAACAGCACATAGCTTCTGCTAATCCTCTATAATTTATTCCTATTTATTTTGACTATTGACCATCTCTCCTGCAGAGTCAACTCCACATGTACAGGGACTGCAAAAGAAAAAAAAAGTGTTGATATTTAACAGAATACAGATTGAACATGCTTCAGGATTACTCAGACCAAGTGAAAGAAATCACAACCTTTCCCCAGGTTTTTGAACTTTATATAAAAACCTGTGAATGCTAGGAACTCTGTTATGAGTACACTATGAACTCTAGTATGTCCATCAATATCATGCTTTGAGATTAGTCC